GAAATCCAGGTCCGTTTAATTGAAATGGTAATTTACAATTCCTGTCCTAGCTCAGAGTGTCCTCCCTGACATGGATTATCTGGTCACCCTATTATATTATATTATAGCTATTGCTGCAGGTATATGAGGCAACACAGCGATAGCAGCCAAAAGAAGACAACACTGGCACATTTGCTGTGTACCCGGCTTCTGATGAGCCACACCTGTTCTTGGTATGTTCCTGAGAGCAGGTGTGACTCATCAGAAGCCAGGTAGGATCGAAAACTTACTGGATAGTAGCTCTCCAGGACCAGAGTTGGAGACCCCTGCTGTAGCGTCTACCAGATGTCAGAGGTGTGAAGAGTTTGTGTCCAGGGTGGGTTGGGTCCTTGATTATTTTTCCAGCTCTGCAGCTGCCCCGAGTGTGATGCATTTCTTCCAGTGATGGAAGCTGGGTGCCAGTGATCCACTGGGCTGTCTTAATGATGTGCTGCAGGGTCTTCCTGTTCTCTGAGGTGCATCCAGAATACCATGCAGTGATGCAGCATGTGATCACTGACTCTATGGTGCACCTGTAGAAGTTCACCGGGAGCTGCTGTGGAAGTTGTGCTTTCTTCAGGACGCAGAGCCTCTGAAGTCCTTTTTTGGCTATGACTGATGTGTTTCTGGTCTATGACAGGTCACAGCTGATCTGAACCCTGAGGAATAGAAAGTTCTGAACCACCTCCACCTCCTCACCTCTGATGCTGATGGGGTGATGGCCCACGTGCTTCCGTATCCTGAAGTCCAGGATCATTTCTTTTGTCTTTTTTGAGTTCAAGGCGAGGTTGTTGTCCTGGCTCCAGCACTGCATGTTCTAAACCTCTTCCCTGTAGGCTGACTCGTTGTTGGTCCATGGAGGGAGGAATGTTATTCTTGATGTGTGCTAAGACCAGCCGCTCAAAGCAAGATGTTAAACAGGCTGGTGAATACTGCAGTCAGCTGACCTGCGCAGTGTTTCAATTCAAAGTCAAATCAAAGTGAACTTTATTGTCATCTTTCCATATACAAGTATACAGAAAAACGAGATGTCGAAGCTCAGAATCCACAGAATTGAATTTTTACAGTGTAAGTAGACACAGTAAGAACAGTGCAAAGACAAAGACGACAAAGATGAAGAAGAGTGCAAATGAGCTGAGAAGTATTTTAAGTACAGTGGCAGTAAGCGCTAACAGCTTTCTGGTGCAGAAGCAAAATAAGATTGTTTTATGCAATATGATTTTTGTGCAAATACAGTATAAATGCAATATGATCTGTGTGCAAATACAGTATAAATACAGTATGATGTTTGTGTGAAAATACAGTATGGATACAGTTTGATATCAGTATGATATCAGAGGGTGTAGCAACAGAGTCAGTTTAAAATGTAAAAAAAAAAATAGCAAAATATTGTAGGTGGGTTAAGAGAGGGTTGAGGTAGATTGGAGGACCCTGGGGGGCAGCATGGTGTTGAGAAGCCTGACAGCCTGCGGATAAAAACTGTCATGCAGCCTGGCCTGACAGCCTGCGGATAAAAACTGTCATGCAGCCTGGCCT